GGTCTTCTCTCATATTGAAGGCCAGTGTCCAAATTGCAGTTTCGTTCTAATAGCAAAATTCAGAAATAACTAATAATATCCATCAATTTCTCTTTGCAGTGGATTGCTTGCTGAACAACATCCCAAACTTTTGTTTGACCTGATGCCCATCATATGGATAAAACCAAGTAAATATGTAACAGAATATGTTAGAGTTTTACAGAGAATAATTATTTCCTTGAATAACTTTTTGCTGAAACCTTTTAGGTTTTAATTCATTTGGGATTTATACAAGATGGAATGTCTGTGCTGTAAATGTCTTGGGACCATTGCTCTGCTTCTTTATGCTATTAGCCTTATAAAATAGAGGTTTAAGAGCTGGAAAGATGGCTCAGCAGTAAAGAGCACTTGCTGTTCTTCCAGAGGGCATAAGTTCAGTTTCCAGCCCCCACATCTGCCATCTGGTAACTATAGCCCCAGGGGATCTGGTGGTAACTCCAGCTCCTGGTGATTTGACACTCTGTTCTGGCCTCAGCAGGCACCAGCTCACACATGACACACATACACACACAGAGAGAGAGAGAGAGAGAGAGAGAGAGAGAGAGAGAGAGAGAGAGAGAGAATATAAACTCGAAAATAACCATCTTCTTAAGATACCATTTTGTTTACTCCATCCTCACACTTCTGTGACAAATCTCACGGTGTGACAGCCCTCTTTCCCCTTCCCACACTTTGGCTGAGTGCATAGTACAAAGGGCTTGATGCAGACTGTGCGAACGCCCAGCATTTTCTGGCTGAAAGAGACCCATAGGCCTTGGAGCCAACCAGGAGATGGGATCGAGGTCAACTTTACCCCTTAGAGGATGCACTTGCTCTTTCTACCATCATCATTTTTTTCTAAAAGTAAACTAAACAATAACAATGAGACTCATTCATTTTTCTAATTTTTTAAAAAAATTGTTTTTAGTTTCACTCTTTTGAAGTGCTTCTGATCAAACCTAGGGCCTCACACTTATTAGACAAGTGTTCTAACAGTGAGTTACACCCCTAGCCCCAATTTCTTAGTCTTAAATACAGTGGATGAACATATTCACAAATTACCTGCAATTGCCACCCAACCTATCAAATATCTTCCCTATTAATGTGATTCAACTATGACTAGCATGGCTTTCATTTAGAAAAACCCTTCTAAAAATTGTACATCAATTATTTTTTTGAGTTTGCAGAAGTTGGTATATTTTATCTATTTGCTAAAAACAAGCAGGAAATTCAGCTTCTTCTAATTGGCATGTTAAGGCAGGCTGGCAGGTAAAGCCAGCCTCACACCTTCAGGGATACCTTCCTTCTTGGCATTTGCTTCATTTCTCATTCCAAATGTCAAGTGCAGTTCTAAGGAGTTCTACTACAATTCTAGGCAGTTTCTCCCAAATCTCCTCCATCACACACACTGTAATTAACTTTATATATAATTATATATAAAGGGCTTCTTCCCCATCTTGTCCTCTTTCTCCTCCATCCCATATCCTCCAGAGATTTTTCATGCCTTCCCAGAGATCAAAACTATTCTGTAAGATTTATGTTTATGGGGCTGAAGAGATAGCTCAGCATTAAGGACACTTGCTTCTCTTCCAGAGAACCCATGTTGCCTTCCCAGCACCCATGTTGGATGGCTCACAAGTACCTGTAACTCCATTTCCAGGGGATCCAGTGACCTGGATCTCTGGAGAGTTGAATTCAGTTTCACATACTCTCATACCCACACAAGATACACACATGTATACACGTAATTACTTGAAAGAGTTTAATTGGGGGCTGGAGAGATGGCTCAGAGGTTAAGAGCATTGCCTGCTCTTCCAAAGGTCCTGAGTTCAATTCCCAGCAACCACATGGTGGCTCACAACCATCTGTAGTGAGATCTGGTGCCCTCTTCTGGCCTGCAGACATACACACAGGCAGAATATTGTATATATAACAAATAAATAAATATTTTTTTTAAAAAAAGAGTTTAATTATTAATTTGTTTGTCTGTATATGCTATGTGTGTGCAGGTGCCTGTAGGAGTCAGAAAAGGACATTAGACATCCTATATCTAGAGTTACAAAAGGTTGTGAGCTGCCAGATGTAGGTGCTGGGAACTGAACTGGGTCCTCTGGAACAGCAGCCAGTGCTCTTAACTACTAAGCCTTCTCTCCAGTCCCATAAGAGCAAAACTTCATAATCAACTCTTGATGTCTAGACCCAGACTCATGAAGCGTATGAAAGCGCTTGCCTTGATATACCTACCGTTAAAACATCTCCATCTTTCCAATATCATACTCAAGATCTTGGCCATTCTACTACAAAGTAAATAGTTGTTCTTTTAGAAACAATCGCTGTTTCCTCTTTCTTCAATGGAAATATCTCTTTTTTTTTCTTTTTCAAGATGAAAAATCTAAGATTGTGAAGTCAAACGCTTATGTCTGTCCCCTCTACAAGACAAGTGAACGAAAAGGAACTCTTTCCACTACAGGACATTCCACCAACTTTGTCATTGCAATGCTGCTAAAAACAGACCTGCCTGTCCAACACTGGATCAAGCGTGGTGTGGCGATGCTCTGTCAGCTGGATAACTAAACTGAACAAATTTAGAAAACATCTGATAACCTTTTAATCTTCACTTATAAAAACATTCTCAAACTGACCGTGGCGGCGTCCTTCCTTTTCTTCCCAGCTACCTGACAACATTACGCACGAGCATTTAAAATACTTAAAAGCACAGTGAAGAAAATATTAAGGCAAAGGCCATAATATGTATTATTAAGAAATTATTCCAACATCTCAAAGTACTCTTGTGACTAACAAGGAAGCGAAGGTGGAATGGTAAAGCTGGCCGGTGGTCAGTGCCGGTTTCCATGGCTGCAGCAACATTGCCCTTCTTGGCATTTCATTTTTCATTGGAAATAGCAAGTGTTCCCTTTTTTAAATTTTTTGTTTTGTTTTATTACTAGAATTGGACTTTAGTCTCTTCAGTGTAATGTGGAGAGCGAGCGAGTGAGCGAGAGTTGGGAGGGGCATGGTTACCACAGTGCCTGTGTGAGGGTCACAGAATAACTGTGGGGTTAGGATCTGCTTCTGCCTTGGGATCTAGAAAATAGAATTCAGGTTGTCGGGCTTGCATACCAAGCACCTTTACCCTCCAAGCCATCCTGCTGACTCTCTCTCCCCTTTGTTACTTTTAATACTTGATATTCTTATTACTTAGTGTGCATTGATCATATTAATATACACTGTGGATTTATAAATATTTCAACAAAACAAGAATTTAATCAAAATTGCATTTTGTTGTGGGTCTGGGGAGATCACTCAGTTGTGATCAGTTGTGATTGCCATTCAGGCATGAGAACCTGAGTTCCGTGCCCAGAACCCAAGTACAAAATCTCGATGTGGTAGCTGGAGAGAAGACTCAGCAGTTAAAATATTACAGCGCTCCTGCAGACAAGCTGAGGTCAGTTCCCAGCACCCAAGTCAGGTGGCCCCAGGGGATCCAGCACCCTCCTCTTGCTTGTTTAGGCACTGCGCTCATGTGCAGACACCCACACATAGATGAACACACATACACATCATTTTTGAAAATTTCAAGTTCTTAAAAAGCCAACACCTACAAAGGGAATAAGCCAGCAAGTGTTCATCAAGCTGCAGGCCAGGAACCTGCACAGGCGCAGGAGAGCCTCCCCAGTTTCAGCAACCACTAGCTTTATAATTTTTTTCCTGTTTTTTTCCTGTTTGGGTAATATGAATTAAAAGAAGAAATATGAATACCACATGGGGATCGCCCCAACCAAAGAAACCTGAAATATATAGTAAATGCTCTTTTTCCTTTGTTGTTCATTTTGGATGTTGGTGATTTAAGATGAAATTTTATGCCCTTATTTATTCCTAGGATGACGGGAGGATTTGCTTTCTTACATAGCTCTCTCTGAAGTGTGCAGTAACAAGTTCCTCAAAAGCAAAATGTTTACCTTCAAAGGAAAAAAAAAAGACAGAAGAAGCTGAACGTAGTGGCATGCACTTTGTAATTCCAGGACTGAGAACGTGGAGACGGGCAGATCCCTGGAACTCACTGTCCAGCCTGCCTAGTTAGCAAACCCTAGGTTCTCAGTCAAAAGAGACTGTCTCAAAGACAAGAAGGTAGTGGTTGAGAGTGTTTGTTGCTCCTGCAGAGGAACTAGGCTCGGTTCTCAGCCCCCACATCAGGTGGCTCACAGCTACCTGCAACTCCAGGTCTAGGGGATCCAACACCCTCTTCTGACCTCCAAGGGCACCTACACACAGAGGGACACATACATACATGCAGGTACACACACATGCACATAAAATAAAAATTTTATAAAAAGGTGGATGGTTTCTGAGGAGTAATACCTCTTCTAGGTTGATCTCCGTCTGAACACATGTACACTGTGTGTGCAATACCTGAACACACACACAAATTTAAAAATAACTTCTGTAATGTCATCCCTTTCTTGGGGTCCCAAGGGTGCTTAAGGCTACAGTGACTCTGTGGAGCAGTTATTCTTTGGTGGTGATGGGGATTTAACCAGAGGTCTTGTGCATGTGAGCAAGTCCTCTGCACTGAGCTATAGCTCCAGCCCACGTTTTTTCTTTCTACTTTGAGACAGGGTGCCACTAAGATGCCTGGGCTAGCTGCAAACTCACTCTGTGGCCCAAACAGGCATTGGGCCTGGAATCTTCCTGCCTTAGCCTTCCCAGCAACTAGGGGTGCAGGCCAGTGCTACTAGGATCAGGAGTCATGTCACCTCTGATAATGCCATCCAAGCAAAACTGCCGCCTCCTCTTAAGTGAGAAATTCTGCTCTCCAGTGGCAAAATGATTTTTTTTCATGGTCTCAACCCCCTGAAAATACTTTATATCTGCCAAGTTGGATGAAATCTTTTAAATGTGATGAATCTAGAAGTGAAGAAAAGAGGTCATGTTTCCAGGCAGCACAAACCCACATGTGAAAAACAAGAAGAACATGCCAGACTGTCTTATGATCAAGTATTTATAGTAAAGCTATTTATAATGCTCGCCAGAGGGGAGTGGAGCTTCAGATGCACCTGCCACATGGGAGCCAGAGCCGTCCTCGAGGATAAACAAAAGGTAAAGTTAGCCTCTAGAGCCTGTTGTATACTAAAATGGCAATGTTCTTTTCAAACCATGGAGATACGCTGGCTTGTTCCCGCTGTTGCTCTTCCTATGCTGTGATGTGTTTACTCCCATGGTGTGCTCACTTTCACTTAACCACGTGAAATAGTATTAGCACGGCATGCTCTGTGTATCCAGAAGATCTTCTGGGTGCTAGAATCATTTAGACATGTTCTGTCTAAAATAAGTCAATTTCAATATTGCAAAAATGGCCTGGGCTTAAAAAAAACAACTCTTTGATTTAATTATTTATTTACAAATAGTTTTGTTTGTTTTTGTTGTTTTACCTTTTTTGCTTTGAATTTTGAAGTTAGCATGTAAATGGGTTTTGTTACGACATTTTCAGACACACATGTTATACTTTCCTCCTTCCTTTCCTTCGGTTTTGCCCTCCCTGCCTCTCTTGCCCAGCCCCTTCCTTGCTCATACAGTCCCCTTTTGACTTTCATATCATATGTTTTCATCGCTCTCCTTTGGTCCCCTTCCCCCTCCTTTAAAACCATATCTTCTTCTGGTCCCTTGCTACTGTCCTGTAGTGTGTGTGTGGCAGAGAAGCGGGGTGATGTGGGGTGTACTTCTCTATTGCTCTCCACTCCTCTTTAATATTTCCTTTATTCTTGACATTTTTGTGGGTGCATACAATGAAATACGATCATATATTGTCCCCCAACATGTCATCCTCCCAGCTTCTTGTCCTTTTGTAACCCACTAAGTTCATATGTGTGTGGGTGGATGTGGGGCCATCCCACTGAGCATGGAAACCCTTTTTAGAAATGATTTTCACAGAGCGTGGAAACCCTGTCAGTAGTCACACCCTTTTCAGAAATGATTTTCAGTCACCTAAGAGATAGCAACTTTCAATGGTTGTGCCAATAGGGAAGGGGTCAGAGGTCATCTGCCCCATCTACGCCAGAATTTGAAGAGTCTGATCTTGTGCAGGTCTGCAGGTAACCATGGCTGCTGTGAAGTCTTGAGTGTCACTGAAAGCTAGCCATCAGGGATGAGTATTACTGGTTGGTTTGAGATTGATTTTTTTTCCTGCGTCAAAGTTTTTAGAGTCTTCAGCAGATGGGGAGGAGAGCTATAAATGACTTTCAGGCATGATACAGCTGTTGCACATATCAATGCACAGCACCTGTGGTTATAGCACAGCACCTACGTAAAATGAAGCCAGTTTAATGCTAGCATGGATGCAGGAGAGGCTCTGCGAGCCCCTGCATCTTGCTGAGGAACCATTGACACTTGATAGCTGCTGAGTGAGGGAAGGTCACTCTCTGTTGTCTGGGTTTCTGACCTGCCTGGTTCCTACAGTCGTTAAGTCCTAAAGAAATCACTTAGAGGTCTATATTAATGATAAACTGATTGGCCCATTAACTCAGGCTTCTTATTAACCCTTATAACATATATTAATCCATTGTTCTTATCTATGTTAGCCACATGCCTCGGTACTTTTTTCAGTGGGGCAATTGTATCTTACTTCTTCTGTGGTTGGGACAGGACTGGGGAGAAATGGGCTTCCTCCTTCCCAGAATTCTCATGTTCTCATTGACCCGCCTCTACTTCCTATCTGGTTGTCCCGCCTATGCTTCCCGCCTATGCTTCCTATTCCTTCCTGCCAATCAGCGTTTATTTAAAACATAGTTGACAGAATATAGACAGTTATCCCACACCAACTCTCTTTCAGGGAGTGGCTTCTGGTAGGTTTCTCGTGCTCTAGAGGACGCCCCACACCCATGTACAGAAATGGGCAGCAGTGATTGGACTCGGGGCTTTTGATAGCACTGAACTATCAATTATTGTGAACAAAGAAGGGTCGTGGCAACAGCCTGTGTTGTTTTGGAGACTGCAGAGATCTGCTCAACCTTATTTTTTGGTACCAGGCCTTTCACTAAACCCTGTGCTCACCAATTGTCTAAACTGGCTGACTAGGAAGTTCCAGGAATCTACCTATGTGTAAACCTGTCCCCTCAGTGTCGGTCTTAGAAGTCTGTGCTGCTACACCTTCTTTCCCATGGGTGCTGGGGTGCAAACTTAGGTCTTCATGTTTGTGTACGAACTGAGCCATCTCCAAAACAGTTTTAATTTGTATTTCCCTAATGGCTAAGTAGGTTGATGTGGAATACCGCTTTAGATATTTACTGGGCATTTTCTTTTGGTTGGTTTTTGTTTACTAAATAGTATCTTTATTTATGCTTTGAAATTTTCATGCATTAATACAAGCCATCTTAAATGCGCATCCACTACTACTTCTCTCCAGCTCCTCCTAGCCCTTCCCTCTCTTATCCCGGCTTCATGCTCTCTGGTTCAGTGCTATCAAAAGCCCCCAGAGTCCAATCAGTGCTTCCCATTTCTGTACACGGTGTGGGGCATCCCCTGGAGCATGAGCAACCTACCAGAAGCCACTTCCTGAAAGAGAGTAACCTTCCCTCGCTCAACAGCTATCAAGTGTCAATGGTTCCTCAGCAAGATGCAGGGCCTCGCAGGGCCTCTCCTGCATCCATGCTAGCATTAGACAGATTTCATTTTACATAGGTGCTGCGCTATAACCACAGCTGCTGTGAGTTGTGTGCCACAGCTGTATCTTGTCTGAACATCATTTGCAGCTCTCCTCCCCATCTGCCAGTTCTTTTATCCTTTCTGCTCCTTCTTCCTTGGTGTGCCTTGAGATGGGGGTGTGGATATATGTGAGTCACCCACAGCTGAGCACTCACAGTTACTGACACCCACACTGAACCCATGTGTGGGTCTCTATATTACCACTCATCGTAAACAGGAGCTTCTCCAGCAAGGATTAGAGCAGCATAAATTTATGGTTATAAACCATAAAAAGCAGTTTTTGATAGTGTATCTATTTAGGAAAACAGCCATAGTAGGCTCCCTCCACTGGCCTGTGGTCTCCTCAAGCAGCATGACCAGGATGACCGTACCAAGCATGAAATCCCTCCTGTGGAGCAGGCATCATGGCCGATCAGTAAGTGGTTAGTTCTCACACTACAGGAAAACAATCTTCCTGAACATGCTGTTATTGTGGTATGTGGGATCCAGTGCTGGGGAAGGCTCTTGATGTCTTCTCTCCTCCAGAAGCCTGCCGAGCACCTTCTGGTACTATAGCATCTAGTTTCCTGGTTTCATTTGAGAACTACCTCTACAGTTCATTAGCCCTCTTATTATCTAGATCATTTGAGGGTTTGGGTACTTATTTTTGCAATTGTTTATATATTTTAGATATTAATGTCTGGTGTATAGTTGGCAGTGACTTATGACCTAAGTCTCATATGAAGGGAAGATTTTCTTGAATAAGTTTTAAATAAATGTCTATTTATGCCAGGCCATGGTGGCACATGCCTTTAATCCCAGCACTTGGGAGGCAGAGGTAGGGTGATCTCTATGAGCTGGAGGCCAGCCTAGTCTACAGAGTAAGTTCCAGGACAACTAGGGCTGTTACACTGAGAAATCCTGTCTCGAAAAACAAACAAACAAAAAATGTCTATTTACAGAAACTTCTTTTTTTTTTTTTGATTTTTTGAAACAGGGTTTCTCTGTAGCTTTTGGAGCCTGTCCTGGAACTAGCTCTTGTAGACCAGGATGGCCTTGAACTCACAGAGATCCTCCTGCCTCTGCCTCCTGAATGCTGGGATTAAAGGCGTGCACCACCACCACCCAGCCAGAAACTTCTAATTTATATTGAATCTATGGGCAGTCCAGAAAACTTTTAATTTCATAGGAAAAAAAATTTTAATATTTATTTGTTTGTTTGTTTGTTTATTATGTATACAATGTTTTGTCTGTGTGTATGCCTGCAGGCCAGAAGAGGGCACCAGACCTCATTACAGATGGTTGTGAGCCACCATGTGGTTGCTGGGAATTGAACTCAGTACCTTTGGAAGAGCAGGCAATGCTCTTAACCGCTGAGCCATCTCTCCAGCCCCCATGGGAAAATTTTTAATGAATATTTGTTTTCAAAATGTGCATTACCTTCATTTATCAACCCTATCAACTTTCTAGTTTTCTAGGTGTCATTCCTATTTTTAAGCAGTTGGAAGTCTTTTCACAATTAGAAAAGTATTTTAATTCATTCTGAGTTGAAAGTGAACCTCTCTGAGTCCCACATGGATAACTCCAACAGTGATGAGGACACAGATGCTGACTTTGACACCCAGCTCATCATTCAGCAGAGTTTGCTGGATATTTACAAGCCAGGAGTAACGCAGCACACATCAGAAGACAAGAGGTAATGTATGTCTCCTCGGCAATGAGTGTCAAAAAGTATCCAAGAGTTGAGATTAGTCATGACCTTAACATTACTGTGGCAAAACGGAAAGAAAAGTTAGAATACAGGGAGTTGTCCTTTTTAAAGATTGATTTATTTATTAAATATATAGTATTCTGCCTGAATGTATGCCTGCACATGTAGATAGAAGTTTCTGTCCCATCCAGTTCCAGCTATTCAGTCCCAAATAAACACACAGAGGCTTATATTAATTATAAACTGTTTGGCCTATTGCTTGGGCTTATTACTAACTAGCTCTTACAACTTAAATTAACCTATAATTTTTATCTAAGTTTAGCCATGTGGTTTGGTACCTTTTCTCAATAAGGCATTCTTATCTTGCTTCCTCTGCTTCTGGATGACGACTGCATCTTTCCTCTTCCCAGAATTTTCCTAGTCTGGTTATCCCACCTATACTTCCTGCCTGGTTACTAGCCAATCAGCATTTCATTAAACCAATACAAGTGACAAATCTTTACAGTGTACAAAAACATTATCCCACAGCCTGCACACCAGAAGAGGGCACCCAGATCTTATTATAGGCCGTTGCAAGTCACCACGTGGGTGCGAGGAATTGAACTCAGAACCTCTGGAAGAACAGCGAGTGCTCCTAACAAGACAAAATGACAGCCTACAGAATGGGAAAAGATCTTCACTAACCCCACATCAGACATAGGTCTGATCTCCAAAATATACAAAGAACTCAAGAAACTGAACACAAAAGATCACATAATCCAATTTTAAAAATGGGATACAGACCATTAGGTTGTCTTGTCATATCAGTCTTATGATTATGGTATTAAATCCATAACCAAGCAATTGATTTTGAATGAATACTTTTAGTCTAAAAGTATAAGAGATTTTGACTAAGTAAGGAAATGTTTCATGGAAATTGAAATTATAGTCATAACATAAATTTTATTATTAAACCTCAAAACTTGTATACCCAGAGATTGTCGATTGGGCCTGGTTTTTGCTGATGTTAAAAATCTAGAGTGGGGGATGGGTACAGTATTTGCTGCACAAACATGAGGTCCTAAGTTCAGATACCCAGCACCCACATCAATACAAGACATGGTAGTGCACATCCGTAATGTGCTCAGGGAAGGCAGAGACATGTCGGTACCTAGAGCACATTGGCCAGCCAATAGCCCATCTGGCTGAAAGGATGAGCGCCAGGTGAGAGACGTGGTAGAAAAGCAATGGAGAAAGGACCAGATGATGGCCTCTTCTCTTCTTGCACATGAATACACATGTGAACATGTAAACACGCGGACCACACACGCAAAAGAAAACAAGAACATTCTTGTGCTGTGTGGAGTAGTGGCCCACTTGAAAGTGCTTACTCCCTAATTCCTAGACCCTGAATGTGCAAACCTTACATAATAAACTGCAGTAAAGTTAAACGGGATTAAGCATGCTAACCACCTAGTGTAGGTGACCTGGGCAGGCCCAGTGTAATCACAAGGACCCTAGGTAAAGGGTGGAGGCAGGAAAAGGAAAGAACCTAAAGGTGCCATGGAAGGGAGGGCTGCATCCAATCAAGGACCTGGAGGAAGAAGGAATGGGTCCACAGACCAAAAACCACATGATGGCTCTAAAGGCTGTAGAAGACAAGAAAGCAGAACCTTACTAGAACCTTCAGGAGAAGCCAGATCTGTCCAGAGTCCAGAATCAAAGAGTTGCAAAGGAATGGATTTGTGCTGTTTAAAGTCAGTAACAGTGCAGTCTTTTCTTACAGTAACAAACTAACACAGCACTCAACCCGTAAGCACAGTTTTAAATGTTAAAGGAAAGCAACTGACCACATTGTGAACAGGACAAAGGGTCAAAGAAATTTCATTCTATCCAACCTGGACTCCTTGAGTAATCTGAGAAAGGAATCTAGGATGCACGTATTGATTCCAGGCACAGTGGTGCATGCCTACAACTCCTGCAGAGTCAGAAACAAGGCAGGGATCTGAAGCACCCCTGGGCTATGCAGTGAGATCCTGTCTCAAATTTTAAAAATTCATATACAATGCTTTGATGTTTAGGTATTTTCATAAAAGGAGGATTTAAACTGTTACTGTTTCCAGAGAAAGAATTATGCCTATGGGGAATCCACACCCTGATTATATACTTTCTAACAATTTTTTTCTAAATCATAGAGTATCAATTTTTTATGTGGTATGATGATATTTCAGTCTCAGACAGATTTGAGTCAATTCAGCAACACTTACTGAGGGCATATACTGCAGTCTAGGCTCCCAAGTTGACCCTTTTCCTTGCCTCCAAGAAGTCATGTTTAATGACAGCTGGAGAGGCAGTTTCCCTATAATGTATGGGGAAACATACTACATTTTACAAATGGGATCTCTCTCTCTCTCTCTCTGCCCCAGCCCTTGCACTCATGCACAAGCACATGTGTGTGCACTGGAGATCAAACCTGAGATGCTGTGCATGCTAGAGAAGCAGTTCTAACACTAGGCTGCATGCCCACCCTCATGGCAAGTGGTCTGCTAGGTTTCATGGTTGCCTCGTATGGGAATTCAGCCCCGAGTAAAAGCTTTTGCCTTTTCCTTTGGGCTTCCATCAGAAACATTAGATTTCTAACTACGTATTTTTTCTGTGCAGGTCCCATTCCATTTCGAGTGCTGATCATAAGAAGATAGTTGAAGCAATAGAGACAGTTAAGTACTCTTCCTATTCTCCTTCAATGTGTGCTGAGCTACAGTGGTGGCAGCGTTCCTTCCATGCTCCAAAAGTCTGAAAACAGTCTTATGGTGGCATATTATTTGTGTTATAAAAAATAAGGCTTGCCTGAAGGTCAGTGCAAAGCAGCCACACTAGTCAGCCATGCAGGCCAGGCAGTGGTGGCATAACCTTTAATCCCAGCAGCCACACTAGTTAGCCAGAGGCTGGATGGTGGTGGCGTAGACCTTCAATCCCAGCACTAGAGAGGAATATAAGGCAGGATGAGACAGGAACTCATTTCTCTTTCAGTCTGAAGATACCAAAGAGGTAAGAACTTTCCAGCAGCTTGACTGCTTTTGCTTTTCTGATCTTCAAGTTGAACCCCAATATCTGTCTGTGGGCTTTTATTAGTCATGCTATATTTAGTGCCCAACATTTGGGGTATGAATTCACAAAAAAGCCAGCGGTACAGAGCAGAGATGCACTTGGGGCTCCTGCCCCACCTGGCTAGGCTTTCTATTCTATTTTTCTCAGAGCCTCTGAGAAAGTTTGGATTTTTCCTGTTGTAGCCTCTCTGAAAGTCTCCAATTGCCACACAAATTCCAGAAAAATTTGGGCTCCAAAAGTCACAGGACTCATCAGCCCTGGACTGGCTGGTTCTGCCTTCAGGCAGCCCCCTAACCCCTTTTCTGCCACACATGCTTTTTCCAAATAATCCCCTGTGCCTTTTTCAGAGAGCCAGCTTTCTCCTCTCTCTCTCTCTCTCTCTCTCTCTCTCTCTCTCTCTTTTTCTCTGTCTCCCCCCCCACCATGAGTTGCCCCTCTCCCTGAACGCCCTTTTCAGGCTGCTGCCAAACTAGATAACTTGAAATTCAGTCCGGCTTTTACTGTTCTACACAGAAGCAATAAGCCCTACATCTTCATCAACATAGTCAGCAGATTTGGTAAGACAATTGAGAATTCTTAAAGGGAAGAGTTAGTTAGTTAAAAGAGAGAGATTGTTCCCACATTAAAAATGGAAAAAAATCATTACAATGGAGAGATTTGGGTCTCTGTATAATACGCTAGACAGTTTGAAAATGGAACAAATAAATGAGAAGATATCTAATTTATATGGAATTTATGTAATTTCAGTTGTAAACATTATCAGCTTTATCATTTTTGTCTTATCACTAAAGAAAAAAAATAGATAATCTGAGTGCTAAGATACAGACCTTAGAAAAACAAAACAGAACAGATCACAGAGATGTTCAAATCCAGACAGAGGAATTTAATGGAGAGCCAATTTCAGCATTGCATTATAAGAACAGTGAGAAACAGCTTAAACTTTTCATACAACTAACCTTAATATATCCAGTAACCTTATAGGAATTGCCAAATGGCAGTGGCTCTGATATAGCTAGCTAGACTCCTGTGCTAATAATATCAGATTTAAGGAGATTCAAGGAAGTCTCATATGGCATGCATTCATCTTTTGTATATTGTATACAAATTTTGTGCATTGATACAAATTTGAACTTAATTTTGTTATAACATACTGTACATACATTTCTACTCTTAGTCAATGTATTATATCTATACAGCTCATTTAACAATGTAATGTAAATTTCCAGTCCTTGAACATTATTACTACTAACTGTTTAGGATAATAAGGAAATTGCAGGTTAGTAGTGAATTACCTATTATAATAGAACTTGTCACATTAGGTATGTTTTCAAGGTCAGACAAAGATATATTTTAGATAAACAGGTTACCTTCAAACACATCAGAGATCTATAGAATATGCCATTTAAGATGGTTTAATAACATGAGCTCTGTTTTTATGACAATGAGACACGTCTGCTCCTGGCAGCACCCGTCTACTTTGGAGAAGATGATGGGCACTGAGGAAACTCCACATGGAGTTTACTTTCATTGTGTTCAATGTGAGCCACTGGTCACAAAAGTGCCCTTGCCTCAACAGTCCGCTGTCCTAATTAGACAAGCAGGACACAAAAGAGTGACTGTCAAACATTGTCAAGACAAAGAGGGTCAACCCCTCAGAATATCCTACTTCACAGAAAAGTCTGTCAGATGTGCTAGGCCTACAGGATATGGATGGGTGCCCCAACATTGCAGAGGAAGTTTGGGTGACTGTCCAGGCTGCCAGCTGTTTCTGTCATTTCTCACATTTTATGGAAGTTGCTTGTTCACACTTCCTGCTTACATGGTTAGCATTATTTCCTTCTTGGGTCTCTGAGGGAGTTGAAGACTAGATATAATTTTCCCCATTTACCAGATGCAGAAAGCAAGTTATAATATAAAGTAATTTAGGTACAAGACTTTGGACTCACCAAGCTAGTATAGATATGGAATATTTTCTCAGAATTTGTCATATGCAAGTGGACTGGATATTGTTGATGTATTTATTACCAATATTTATTTTATATATTGTACTTACTATATATAGTTTCTCATATTATTTATTTTTTAGACAAAAAGGGGAAATATATTGGTATATTAATTGTGTTTTAATAAATAAGGCTTGCCTGAAGGTCCGCACAAAGCAGCCACCATAGTCAATCATACAGGCCAGACAGCAGTGGCACACACCTTTAATCCCAGCAACTATACTAGTTAGTCATAGAGGCTGGGCTGTGGTGGTGCGTGCCTTTAATCACAGCACTAGAGAGGAATATAAGGCAGGACGAGACAGGAACTCCTATTTCAGTCTGAAGATTTCACAGATGTAAGAGCTCTCTAGTGGCTGGCTGTTTTGCTTTTCTGATCTTCATGTTGAACCCCAGTATCTGTCTCTGGTTTTTTACTTTCTCCTATAGAAAAGGCATTTGAACGACCCAGAGTCTGAAGTGGTCTTTTTTGGGATAAAATACTTCAGCATAACTTATCAAAGAATGCCAGAACTCATGTGCAGACAGAGCTGGGGGTGGGATGCTGGGTACAAGGCCTCAGTGCTGGTCTCATGACATTTAAACTTGCCTGTCACTGAAGATGGTGCTTGGATTCCACTCCTTCACACCAGCTTTGGTGTAGATTCCAGAAGCAGCATGGGCTCCCATGTGTGCCAAATAAGAATCTGTTTTATTTTCCTTGTTACTAGGTAAGGAAGATGCACTGGCACACCTAACCAAGTACCATTCTGCATTTGATGAAGCCAATGGGGATGGTTGGCTTCCTCTGCATACGGCAGCAGTGCAGTTAAATAGGAACATCTTAGAAATAACCCTGAATGGTAAACTCCTTTTCGCTCCCCTTGATACTTCTGAAGAATGTTTATTTCTGCATCTTAACCTATGTGGTGTGATGGGTTTATTTCAGCTACCAAACCCAGTATGTGGGAACAAACTACCCACAATGGAGAAACACCACTTTTTTTGGCTGTCAGCAGTAGCCTCCTAGAAAATGCCCATTTTCTACTTCTCAATGGCTGCAATCCAAATGCTAAGAATCTTGAAGGCAATTCTCCTCTTTTTACAGGTAAATGAGCAGCTTGTCTTTAAAGAAGGGTCTAGGTCTTCTCCATGCCCACACTGTCCATTCGGTCCCTGCTGGACAGAGAAACCTGTTTTTTAGCTTGTATCCAGCTTGTAACTTCCACTTGTAACTAACTATTCTCGACTTTTAGCTCACACAGTGAACTGAAAGCTAGCATGGATTTTGAAACCATATCCCAAGAAACAAAACTTAAAAAAGAAAAATCCTCTGAGGAAGAAGAAAGATAGTTAGGAAAGACAGAGAATAATAATGGCTGGCTGTTTAAACCCAGCACCCCAGTGTTGTCTCCTGGGGCTGAGTCTTTCTGAGAAGGCCATACATAAGCCACAGGAGTGCGGGTCAGCCCCACGCCCTCAAAACTGCAGGTGTCTGATGTGATAATAGTCACATAAAGGCAAATACACATTACACTCTGAAGCCTTTCACAGTGATGGTGGGCAACTGCCTTCCTCTCTGGATTTTTGCCTTTCATTTATTCATGTTGTGTGTTTGTGGTACTGTGACTCTAGGCCGGGACTATGATTTGGTTGTTGCAACTCCATGATCAGTTTCATCGAAAAGAACCTCAGGGAGCACCTGTACTTTGCTTTTACATATGGGACTCAGTCTCCTAGTTGGCTTGCGGGGATTGCACAGATTTGGGCATAACACTAAACAGAATCCTGGAGCATGGAAGGAGGGGAAAAATTCCTTAAGAAACTGAAGGACACTAGCTAATATGCCACTTACCTTAAGCCTCTCTTATATAATGTCTACCTCACAATTTCCCAGCTGTTCTGAAAGACTCGTATGATATGGCTACCTTGCTGATCAGTCATGGTGCAGATGTCAATCTGCGATGTGCCAACAAGAGGACAGCTCTCCATGAAGCTGCCAAGCTCGGCAACTGGGACATGGTAAAGCTGATGCTGACTTCGGGGGCACACCCAGATGCACGGAGCTCCTATGGGTTTACTCCTCTTGCCCTTGCTGCTCAAGGCGGACACACTGAAATCATGGAACTATTACTGCAGAAAGGCAAGATTTGCTTAGTGACTGATTACAGGAGGACTGAGAGCCAGGCTGGGTTTGGTTGGTAGGGTTTAGTGCTTGTTTTTAAAGATCTATTTATTTGTGTTTAATATTTTAATACTTATTTAAACTTACCACATGAATACAAAGTCCACAGAGGCCAGAAGAGGGAGTCAGATGCCTGGAAACTGGAGTTAAAACAGTGGCGAGCTGCCATGTGGGTTCTGGGAATTGAACCCAGGTCCTCTAGAAGAGCAGCCAGTGCTCTTAACCACTGAGCAATCTCTTCAGGTTCCCCAAGAGTTCCTCCTGATGGGGTATTTCAAAATAATACATGTTAACATTTTTATAAAAACCAGTGTTTGAAAAAATTGTGTGTGAATCTTGACTGTTAAAAGCCTGAACTCAGCTGGGTGGCGGTGGTGGTGCTCACCTTTGATCCCAGCACTCAGGAGGCAGAGGCAGGTGGATCTCTGTGAGTACAAGGCCAACCTGGTCTACAGAGCAAGTTCCAGGACAGCCAAGTCAAGGTTATGCAGTGAAACCCTGTCCAAAAAGAAAAGCCTGAACATGGAGAACGAATTTCTTGTGACACAATTTTACAAATTCTGAGGCTGCAGATGACTTTTGCCCAGTACTCCTTCATCCTGCTAAGAGAGTTTTACTTTTGTGTTAGTTGCTCTTTTCTACAAAGTCTCTGCCACAATCCATGTTCTCTCTCTCCCTCCTTCTCCTTCGCTCTCAACTTTGTCTCAACCACATAAATATCCAGTAGCTACTCACAGCTTACAAAACAAAACAAGACAAAAAAAAAAAAAAACATATATCTCATTGATGTAAAACACTACTCCCAAGGCTGGAGAGATTGCTCAGTGGTTAAGAGCAAGGCTGCTCTTCCAGAGGATCATTATTCAATACATGGCAGCTCACAATTGTTTGTAACTCCAGTACCAGGAGATCCAACACTCTCACAGAGACTTACATGCAGGCAAAACACCAATGCACATAAAATATAAATAAATTATTTTAAAAAACCACTAATGTAATGGTCTGTCCTGTCCCTCTAAGAGACAAGCCCTGCCCACTCAACCCTGCCTCTGTGCACCTCGGGGACCTGCAGCATTTTACTTGAACCACTACAACTAGAATGGATAGGCTTTTTCTGTTCTGCCAGCCATCTCCCATTTTTGTTTTGTTTTGTAAGCTGTGAGTAGCTACTGGATATTTATGTGGTTGAGACAAAGTTGAGAGCGAAGGAGAAGGAGGGGGAGAGATAACATGGATTGTGGCAGAGACTTTGTAGAAAAGAGCAACTAACACAAAAGTAAAACTCTCTTAGCATGATGAGGGAGTTATTATGAAAGCACAGCTGATAGTTTAGGCTTGTTTCTAGCTAGCTCTTACAACTTAAACGAACCTATTTCTATTAACTCAGAAATGCCTCATGGACTTACCACCTTTATGCTGCATGGCTCATGCTGCTTTCCTGCTTCCTCCATCTCTGGCTGGCAACTGCTAGCAACTCTGCTCTTCTTCTTCCCAGCATTCTCGCTACCCTAAAAATCCTGCCTAGCTATTGGCTGCTTAGCTTTCTATTAAACTAATCACAGTGAAGTATTTTCACACAGTGTAAAGGAATATTCTACCAATATTACTGTGTATCTGCCCTATCTATCTATCTATCTATCTATCATCTAGCTAGCTAGCATATCCCCTCCCCGTTTTTCTCCTTCCACACCCCCAAGGGGTTCATGAGGCAATTTGTCACCAAGTTGCTAAGATAAGAACAAATTCCTCCTGACCACTTTGCTTCGGGTCCTAGCCTCTGCTCTAACAGCCACACTCCTGGGGAAGAGGACAACTCATGTTTCCAGAGCACTGTCTATCCCACAGGCATTTAGCAGTCTGTGTGCCACGCACAGTCCTTTAAATATGTGAGGCAGATATCAACCTCAGCCTGCACTTGAGGAAAGAGAATGAAAGGCAGTACCAGCTGCAACACTTCTTCCAGTACACCCACTCCCTTACCACAACACTGAATTATACTGATGGCCATTCTAGATTCTGGGATGACTAGCAGGAACCTTTGGCTCAGAAAACTTATAGAACATTGAGATCATCATTAATGTTTCCAATGAAGGAGTGTATGGAGTCCCAACAGTATACCTATCTTTTTATTCTCCTTATATCCAGAAGTTTTGGTTTTTAGTAATATGTAGTCCCAGTCTGCAATATTCTAGATGGCAGAGTCCCCTGTATTGAAGAAAAGTTCTGTCCTTTGTATACTTACTTCTTTTCTATACAGGAAGCAGGTCTCCATCAAATGTCTATTAAATTTTAGCATGACGCCTGACATATGTGATCTAAGAAGACGTTGTTAGATGTTATTCGCTAGAATAACAAAAAGTAAATACCAGATCTTTCATCTTTAAGGAAAGATATTCTCTCTCTCTCTCTCTCTCTCTCTCTCTCTCTCTCTCTCTCTGTGTGTGTGTGTGTGTGTGTGTTGCCAGGGTTTAAACCAGTCTTTTGCATTCTTCAAAGGAACTCTAATAAACCACATCTCTAGACTAAGAGTAAACCTTTGTTTAGATCAGTGATTTAAATATAGAGATGGAGAAAGAGAACAAATTTTAAATCTTTTTAACCCTTTAGATTAGCCATCATAGGCTAGCCAGTGAGTCAGCATTTGAAGTCATATCTGACTCTAAATTGTACTTTTTGCGCAGTAGCAAGATGGTCTCATAGTAGTAAGCTTGGCTATGGAGATGTGCACATAAATTTTTGTTGTTTTTTTCCTCTTTTTTATTACTTTATAAATAATACCAATCAAAATTTCCACTTTCTCATCTTAATCACCTTGCTTGTCTACTAGCTCTGTGTCTTTGGGGAACTTAAAACTCAGAAAGCCTGAATTTTTTCGCATTTAAATGAGGATATTAGAACCTACTTCTGAGGTTCACTGTGAAGTTTAAATATTCCGTAAGATTGTTTTTAATCTATCTTTGATTTTTGTGACTGGGACTATGCAGCCCTGGCTGTCCTGGAGCTCACCATGTAGACCAGGCTGGTCTCAAACTCAGAGAACCACCTGCCTTTGCCTTCCAGTACTGGAATTAAAAGTGTGTGTCATCACTCTTGCCCAAGATTTTATGTTTAATTACATGTCTGTGTGTGTGTGCTACTAGTGTGTAGATGTCCAAGAAGGCTAGAAGAGACCATTGGATCCCTACAACTGGAGTTAAAGGTGGTTGTGAGCCACCCAACCTGGGTGTTGGAAACTCAATTCAGGTCTTCTGGAAGAGCAATAAGTACTTTTAACCACTACGCTATCTCTCCAGCCCCAAGTTTAGAAATTTTTATACATATAAAGGAACCAGGATATAGTAGTGAACATTCAAAACTGGTTATTAGATTGCTTACTGCATTCTAGGAATGAGGTTCTTGTGCAGCCCTTGTGATGAAAGAGTCTTTTCTATATTACAGGCACATTCTTTTTACTGAGCTCCAAATATGCTCAGAATGCGCTCGGCTTTATCGAGACTTCTAGCATCGACTCTGACATTTCTTTTCTTCAGCTCCCAGCTCCCCTCCCAGTCCCTGCCCTAGCTCTTCTAGAGGACACTTAACCTACATACTCGACGAAGTGTGGATACACTTACCTTGTAGCTATCGACAGCCCTCAACTTTAACTAAGAAGAATTAGGGTCTTTTACTATGAAGTGTGTAATCATTTGAAAAATAACTAATGTCCCTTGGCATCAAAACATCATTAGATGACATAGAAATGTAGCCGGCTGCTTGGGCCACTCTGCATGTAAGCATGTTATGGGTTAGGATGACTTTTATAAGCCGGTCTAAAAAGAAAGCTACCTTTTACCAAGTATTCCTAATGGACTTCAAGTAGGAGTACTTGGTAAAATATCAATCAAATGATCTATTAAACTCTGAAAGTCAACTCAACTACTTAGCCCATGGTTTTCTTCCCCAACTAGTTTATACAGCACGTGGGAAAGGGAAGCACATATTTTATGTCTTCGGTTCATAAGTGTATTACTATAACAGGTGCTGATTGTTTTTCAAAAATTTTATATTTAAGTGTATTAGTGTTTGTCTGCATGTATGTATGTGCACCACATGCATGTTTAGTGCCCACAAAGGTAAGAAGAGGACATCAAATCCCCTGGAACTGGAGCTCCCGATGGTTGTGAACCACCTTGTGGGTGCTGGGAAGCAAACACTGGGCCTCTGGAAAAGCAACAATTGCTCTTAACTGCTGAGCTGCTTCTCTGTGGAGGTGATGGCATATTAAGACTGCTTAAGCAATAGTGGAAAAGAATCTTTACCTAATGAGCCTTCTCCTTTTTCTAGGAGCTGATGTTCACAGTCAGGCCTCTGACTCTTCCTCCATTTTACTTGAAGCCGTTAGAGGAGGAAATCCAGACTCTGTGACTCTCTTGCTAGAGTATGGAGCTGACGCCAACATTCCTAAAAGCTCAGGCCACCTGCCCATACATGTGGCAGCTGACAAAGGCCACTTATTGTAAGTTCAATTCTGTAATTGTAAGAAACAGGAAATAGTAATAACTAAATTTCTTTAAGGAACTGCTTGGGAACCATGGAAACCTTGGGCCTCAGGTGATCTGGCTAATTCGAAGTTTTTCCCTTAACAGTAGTTCCATTAAATTTTACTTGACATCTGAGTTTCTTGAAGAAACTAACACTTTTGGTAGGGGTCCTAAATACCATCTGGTTAACATACATCATTCAATGTAGGGCTAACAGTCTCATAAATAGGTTAACTCTGCATTGTAACAACCTGAAGTGCATTTGAAAATTTTTTCCCAGAGCTCTAAAGATGTTGGTTCCAGTTACGGATATTGCTGCCATCAAGAGGAGTGGGATCAGTCCAGTTCACTGTGCAGCAGCTGGGGCACACCCCCAATGCCTGGAAATTCTCATTCAGGCTGGATTTGATGTGAATTTCATGCTAGATCAGAGAGTCCGTAAACATTATGATGATCAAAGGAAGTCAGCCTTGTATTTCGCTGTTTCAAATGGTGACCTCTCTTCAGTTAAACTGCTTCTGAATGCTGGCGCTCTGCCCAATCAAGACCCAGTCAACTGCCTACAGATAGCTCTCAGGATGGGCAACCATGAGCTCATAAGTCTACTACTGAGGCACGGGGCCAACGTCAACTACTTCTGCAGAGTTAACCCTTTGCACTTCCCATCGGCACTGCAATACTCACTGAAAGATGAAGTCATGCTCAGGATGCTACTGAATTATGGGTATGACACAGAGCGATGTTTTGATTGTCCTCACGGGGACAGAGTTCATCGCTTTTGTACTTTTGAAGGCTGGACACCTACAGTTATTAAAGATACTATGGTAAGTCCACAGCACTGGTGGCATTTGGTAAACAGTTATTGTCTCTAGTCTTAGAACTGTAACAATAGATACAATATGCCCTTGGGGAAGCTCCTATTGGGAAGACTCTAGTATGCTACATCATAAGATAAACCCACAGTGGGAAGATGTAAGAAGTAGAAAGATAACTCCGAGGAGAAAGTGACTTTAGTCAGAAATATGAAGTGTTTCACAAGTTCAACACAAGAGCAAGGTTTTAAAGATCATGTACTCTAGCTTTTTCTTTGAATGATTTACTTAGCTAAAATGTTTCCAAGTTCCACACACCTATAATCACTGTTTCTTTAGCTCTCAAATTTGAGAGCCCATTTCCTTTTGCCATCTTTCTGATGAAAAGAATCACACGAGTTTCTTGGTTTTGCCTTACCTCCTCTGTTATTTTCCTCACCAACTTTTTCCAGGGCTTTCAAATGGCTTCTTTCACTTTTCTGGTCTTATTTCAAGTGTCCTCTCCCACAGGCCCTTCCTTATCCACCCTCCCTCAAACAATTCTCTAACTGTGGATATTTCTTTTATAGCATTTACCTAGGATTATCATTTTAACTATTTTGAACCCCTCTGAAATATATAAACATCAAGTTCTTGTTCATTTTGTTGCCTTTTAGGTCTGTGCTTTGTACATAGTGGATGTTCTATACACCTGAACTTATATTATCAAAAATTGAAAACAAGGGTTGGGTGGTGGTAGTGTACACCTTTAATCCCAGCACTTGGGAGGCAGGTGATTCTATATGAGTTCGAGGCCAGCCAGGCCTACACAGTGAGTTTCAGGACAGCCAAGGTTTCACAGAAAAACCCTGTCTCGAAACATGCTCCCTCTCAAAAAAAAAAAAAAAATTGAAAACAAATAAGATGGTGATGAAAGACTTTGAAACAGTTTGATGAAGGAAAAGGTGGTATTTCAGGGAATAAGTGTATGAGTTACTTTATTTACACTGATTTGGCATTTAGGCATACACCATCTGGTATTATTTCTGAACAGCATCAGGATCCGATTTAGGTTATAAATAACAGAAAATGAAAAAACACAAAAGCTTTAGTGAAATGACAGCTGGGCATGATGCATGCAGTCCCAGCTACTCAGGAGACATTACTTGAGGTCAGCCTGAGCAACATAGTAAAAGTCTATCCAAAAAAAAAAAAAAGTAGGATTAGCAAGATGGCTCAACTAAAGGTGCTTAACACCAAACCTGGTGACCGAAGTTTGATCCCTGAGCCCACACAGTGGAAGGAGAAACCAACTCCAGACAAGGTCCTCTGACCTCAATACATGCACATGCATGAGCATGCACGCATGCTAAATGTCTTTTAAAAATAACCCAAGTGTCTCATTCTTTTCTCTACAAGATCCAGAACTAAGTTATCTTCCACCTAGACAGTGTGTGTTTAACAGGAGAAACACACACCCACATTCCAACAACCCAGACTCCCACTCACATCTGATGGCTAGAACTGTCAGTTACAAGGCCATCTTTATTGCAGATGGCCAAGAAGCACACACAGGTAACTACCTGCCAAACCTCATTGTCCTGTGAGGCTCCGGGGCCACACTGAGGTCAGGCGAGCTCATGCACTGAGTTTAGTGCTCTTTTCATTACACCGCCAAAGCGCGGATGCTCAGCGCTCTTTTACTTGCTTTCTGCTTGTTTTCCTCTCAGTTCTGCGAAGTCATAACTTTGTCATGGCTACAGCATCTCTCTGGAAAAGTTGTCCGTGTGTTGCTTGATTATGTTGATCAAGTGCAAATCTGCTCAAAACTGAAAGCTGTGCTTGAAAAACAGAAGCTCTGGCCAGAAATACATTTGATCTTGAGTAAGTATCTTTCTTATAGAAAATTCTTACCAAAACACTTATCTATTTTAGAACATTCTTCTGATTAAAACGTTGACCTAAAAAGAATTTAAAAAAATACTAGTCTTTAATTGTGCTATTCATAATGTGTGATCATTTCCCATCAAATGAAATCTAATCACTTACTTTATGGACAGATAACACTTTTCCCCCAATCCATTTAACCTATGGCTATGGGGAACAATACACACCCAAGAATTAGAAGTTATGAACTGGCAACAGAAAGAGGAAAAGCTACATTCTAACCCTGTAGCATATAAAATGATGCTTCCCCCCAAATGAATTCTCTTGCTTGGGTCAAAATAAGATTTTCTTATATCTTGCTTCTCCTGGGGTGATCTTTGAACTTTTAGCCAATTCCAAAAGACAGGATGGGGGAGCTGATATTTAAGTACTTGAAAGATTTGGGAGTCTCACCAAGTCAGACTCACAACTGTGCTTCTGAAACTACAGAGGACAGCGATGAAAACTAAAGAGCTGTTGCCCTACAGACAGTATGGCAAACAAATGCTATTAACACAGATATCAAATATATTTGCCAACTAAGCCCTTAGTCACCAAAAAACAAAGTGATTCTTTCTGTTTTAGCAAACCCTCGTTCTCTAAAACACTTGTGCCGCCTCAAGATCCGGAAGTGCATGGGACGGTTACGTCTGCGTTGCCCTGTCTTCATGTCATTTCTTCCATTGCCCAACCGTCTAAAAGCTTACGTCCTGTACAAAGAATATGACCTTTACAGACAAGGGAGTTTTTCAGGAACCTGGTAACAGACTATTCTGGAGGAAAAAGGTATAATCTGCAATATTTTCTTCACGATTTACTTGTTTTAAATGACTTTCTCTTTGCTCAGCAATAAAAACTTCAGTGTAGTCTACAATCATGTAAAAAGTCATTCTGTGTGGGACTCCTCTCTGTGAGCTGTTCAGAGGTTCAGCAGTCTCTCAGACAATACAGGTTATTGCTCTTACTCTTGACTGCCCACCATGACTCAACAGTAAGATGATATTGCTGAAGACATCCCGCACTCTGGTTGCAGGACACAAAGATATCAAGAAACGAACCGGAAGTTTCCTCCTTGATGGCTAGCTTTCCTAGAGCTGGAGCTTCTATGAAGGCATCTGGGGGCGGGGTACGGGACTATCACTGTCTTACCCAGTTGGGACTCTATGTTAGGGACGGTAATGAACTGCCAGGCAACATGTGCCCCTGATGCAATGCGATGAGCTACCATACTGCTCTCTGATTGGATTTGACTCACTCCACAAGAAGGTATTCATTCACGCCTCGTACTATAAACCTGGGTTACTTTGGGGGAGGTATTGTGGTAGTTTTTAAAGCCCCAAGCTGCAGAGGTCATAAGCCCTAGGAAGAATCCTGCTGCTGTTTTGCTAAATGAACATGTTCTCAAAGTGCCTCTTAAACACGTTATATTCATAAATTAGTCTCAGCCTTGGTCAGAGATGTTTCTTTTTTTGGTAGGTGTCAAGTAAGGTAAAGACTCATAACTGATGAAAATGCTAAGTAACTGTTGAGTGCTCGGCCTTAAACAAAACATTGATAATATCCCCCTGTGGGGCTCAGAAGACAGCAGAAGGGGCAGAGATCCTGCTATGGGTCAGACAGGACCGAACTAGGCCCTGATACAGGTGACAGTGGTGTGGCTTGGGCAGTGTATGGGGACACTGGCAGTGGGTCCAGGATCTAACTCTAATGCATGAACTGACTTTGGGGAGCCCATTCTCTATGGAGAGACACCTTGCTAGGCACAGGGGTGGGGTGTGGGGGGAGATGGGACACACTTAGTCGACCTCCCAGGAGAGACCTTACCCTTCTCTGAGGAGCAGACTGAGGGTGGGAAGAGCAGAAGAGAGAGGGGGCCCTGGGATTGGTATGTAAAAAGTAAATAAAAATTTAAAAGATAGGAAACACAAAAAGTCAGAGAGAAAGAATGGGCAGGGTTGCTATGAAACACTGTACTTGCCATGGTCATCGTGATCACATGAGCTCACAGAAACTGTGGCTATCTGCACAAGACGGAGCACACCAGCGTTCCACTGTGGTGCCAGAGGGGAAAAGTGCTCCTCCCCATATTAGCCTGATGGCCAGAATCTGACCCCCAGAGTCCAGTGGTAGGAGAAAATCAACTCCAGCAAGTTGTACTCTGATCTCCACATACACACCATGACACACAAATGTACACACACACACACACACACACACACCTCTCTAAATGAATAAAGCAAGCAAATAAATAAACCCAGCATGGATCAGGGCTCTCAAGGAGCTACTAGTAACTAACAGCTGCTGAGGGAAAGGAAAGTCACTTTCCTCGGTGGTGTAACCCTGGGAAGTGGTTCAAACTCCAGTAGGTTATTTACTTGTTACATTTGTACTGACCTGTCTTCATACTTGCATGAGGGGAACTATTAAGAGGAAAAGGAGGCTCAGCAGGAATGGAAGGGGGGGATAAGAGGTGGTGATGGGGGTAAATATAATTAAAATATATACATGTGTGAAATTGGCAAAGATAAATTTTAAAGTAGCTCTGAAATCAGGCATGGTGGTATATGTCTGTAATCCCAGCTCTTGGGAGATAGAGGCAGAGGATCAAGAATTCAAGGTCATCCACAGCTACATGGTAAATTCAAGGATGCTTTGGCTATAGGAGACTGTCTCAGGAAAACAACAAAAAACAAACCAAAACACACAAAGAATTTGAACATCTTTTTTCAACACATGGCTAGAATTGTAAGGTAATTAGAAATAAAAAAGAAAAACTCATCCAAATGCAGTAGCACATGCCTATAATCCAAACTACTCAGGGGTAGAGGGGGAGGACCTCGAATTCAAAGCCATCGTAGGCTACTAGGCTTGCCTTAGAAGCTAGTGCAAATTTCAAGTAACTGAAATATACCCAGTTCTAAAACTGTGTATTGATCTTATAATAAGTGTATGAATGCAACTTCGTGTTCAAAATAGCAGACACTGAGGATTGTCTTTTCTCAGTTAAGTACCTCTGCTGGCTTGGAACTCAGAGATCAACCTGCATTGCCTCTCAGAAGGTAAGATCACAAGTATTCACAACCATACCTGGCCGTGACTTTTGTAGTCTTTTTACAGAGAATATATATGTAGTGTGGGGATGTGGGGGAGGGGGGGGTGCATGTGAGCACAATGCCCATTGATGTTAGAAGGAAGATATCAGATCCATGGAAGCTGAAACTGCAGGCAAATGTGAGCCATCTGCTGTGGCCGCTGGGAACTAAACTCAAGCCCTAGAGAGGAATATGTGCTCTTGACTGCTAACCTATCTCTCCAGCCCCAGCCTGAAAACATCTGAAATTACGCAGGGAAATAAAATTCAGAGTAACTAACAAATATTTCATACATAAAATCTTTATAAAAAAAATCATGGACTTTATTATACATTTAAAAAACCCAACAAGATACTTCTTGAAGCCCTGTCAGCAAATACCTATTTTGACAAATGAAAAAATAAGTTCTCTGCCCCACACAAGCTATACCATGATCACAAATCCAATTTTAAAGAGAGATGCTGCATGATTTTCAATTATATGTACACTGCACAGTTGGTTAATATCATCAGTGAAATAAGAGTTAATCAATTTACTTACATTACAAAAATCACAAAATATACAAAGCAGTCTTACACATTAATTATCATTTAGTCCCCAATATCCATATTAATTGAAGTCAGTTACTTACAAGTGTAGCTAGAGGTTGGTTAAAAGTTCACCATGGTTCTAGTTTCAAATCTTTGTTATTAATGTAGAATAAAAATCTCATTATAGAGATATAAATCAAACTTGCTAAAAACAAGATGAAAAGTTTGCTTACTACAAATGCTCAGACTTGTTAACAAAAGCAAATTAATATGTTCATTTCATTCAGTTGTCAGAAGATTCTGTAATATGGTAACTTTCAGGATCTGCCAGCATGGTCAGTTCCAACTGTAAATAGCATGGTTCCTGTAGTAGTTTGTAAGCGTTCACCACACGGAACCACGTTGCCTACAATGTTATGTACATCCTACTATTCTTTTCTCAGAAATAATGGCTACTTCCTCATTCCAACACTGTGGAGCTAGGAATTCTTTTTTGAAATTGAACACCAAGTAGTCTTTAAATACATGACAAAAACAAGAATAGCTTCAGAGATTCAGGGACTCTGTTCAAAGGTACAATTTCAGTCTCTATCAAGTTTACAGCAAGTCTCTAGCAAGGATACAGAAGGAAGTGATTTTCTATTGAGTTTATTACACAGTTATGTAAGTACTGTCAATATAGGTAACAGAATGCACAGTAGAATTAGGTAGGCTAAATTTCTCTTCCTTTTTAAAGAAATTTTGTTAATTTCTAAGAAGCTGGGAGAGATTTTAGAGGACAGTACAACAGAACAAGATCAGCATTGACATTTAGAAGAAGCTCACAGGCAGCTTTCTTCAAGCAGGAGAGCTGACTAAAGCTGTTGTGCAAAATCCCTACAGTTTAACAGCGGTTGAACAGACGCGGGGTCATCGAAAATGTTCAGTCCACTCAGGACATGTCCTGGGCATCAGAACACATTCTGGTCTGACCTGTGGACGCGATAGCAACTGTGGGAATTCCTATGAAACGTGACTTAAAAAGAATTAGAAAACTCTCACCCCTAGCCTGAATATTTATCCAAATCACAGCATTTTGCTGCCATACATAGCAGCAGAAATTAAAGCTGTCTCCTGATGGTGACCACTCTAACTGTAAAACAGATTTCCCCTGCAGTACGCAGGACATCTTATATCAAGAAAACACTTCATGAAACTGAAAACTTGGGTTGGGATGCAGCTCAGTGTGGAGGGCTTACTTAGCATATATGAGAGCCTGGGTCTGATCCCCAGCACTGCTAAAATCAAACAGACAACAAAAACAAAACAAAACCAACAATAAAAGTCAGAAACCTTACCAATCTCAAAAATCTTAAAAGCAGCCGGGCAGTGGTGGTGCAGGCCTTTAATCCCAGCACTTGGGAGGCAGAGGCAGGCGGATCTCTGTGAGTTCAAGGCCAGCCTGGTCTACAAGAGCTAGCTAGGACAGACTCCAAAGCTACAGAGAAACCCTGTCTCGAAACCCCCTCCCAAAAAAAAATCTTTAAAACAAGACTTGCCACAAGTAGTCAAGTACTGAGCACAGCAATTTCTAGTTTTAACAAGAAGGAAACACTAAAGTGAAAGCATTCCCTTTAGAAAGTACAAAACAGACTTTTAACCAAATGGGCTCCATAAATTGCTACTTATTAACTGTATATTTGGGTAACATAAAAGTTTAAAGAGTATTAAGTAAGCACTAGTCCCATTTGGCACATGAATTAAAAACAGTATCATGATCAAATATATATAGTTATCTCATGACTACAGAAAACCGTACTTACAGAGTGTGAAACTGAGCTATATTCAATTCAGAACTAAGAGAAAATTACTTGTGAAATTAGTGGTTAACCTCTTGAAAATCTATAAATGTATGACTATGTAGAATACTTTACTCAATATATTTAACCTGTACACATACATATATATACACTTTTTATGTAAAACACATGAAAATAAAATCTATAAACAAAGATTAAAATCTGAGTGAGGAAAGGTTTGACAGAAGATGAACTGAGGGACATGTCGACCTTGGTAGCAAGCTAACTCCTTCCTTGGTCCTATACTATATGAGGTGTTCAATTCCTTTTCAGTCTTTCATGGAATTAGATCTTTTGCTCATTTGAAAAGTAAAAGTATTTACAATAATTAGTACAAATTATTCTACACTCATAAATTATTTGCCTTTGTGGATATAAAGTGGCTATTCAATTCATTATCAAAATGTGGGA